CTTTTAACTTTGAATTTTTCTTGCATAATATCTCAAAATTTTTCATAAAACATCATTTTTTCATAAATAACTATTTTATCCCTTCACCCTCTACTCATTGGTCACCCCTTCTTTTACGCAACCTCACATAATATCTCATGTGAAGGCATGTTATTACCCTTAGCTCTCGCATGAGAACCCATCCAACCCCTATACTTGTAGCTTTGCCCATGTGCCCTTGTTGTCTAATTATCGCTTGCAGCCCTTGCACGAGGGTTCAATGTACAGGGTTACCCCCTTTGCTTGTAGCCCTCACGCAAGAGCTGATAACCTCCCTCGCCCACCCATGAGTCTACATTATCTCGTCGACACTCGTAAGTCTTTCACAAAAGGCTTGTAATCGCTTGCAACCCTCGTGTAAGAGTTTGTCATGTGGGATGCCTCTCTCTGGTTGTAGCCTCTTGTGTGAGGGTTGGTCGCCTCCCTTCGTCAACCCTTGCTCACCAATCAACCTTTGCTGTTTCGCTACCTCCGCAACCCTCACGTGAGGACCCATCATCGCTTGTAGCCACCAGCAAACACCACCACCACCATCACAAAAGGTTGATAGGTCGGGTGACTATAGGTAAAATAATAAGATTTTTTTAATATTATAAGGATAAAAATATCTTTATAGGTATCCACGATGCTATATTAAAATTTTTCAAATTTGGGAAGGGAATACCTAAGGCTGCGAGATCTTTTCAAAAATTCGTATATATATATATATATATATATATATATATATATATTGTCCACGACCGAACCCTATAACAGCGATGTCTCCTTGCTCGATGAATCGGCAGTTCTGGTGCTTGTAGACACCGGCGAAGGTGTTCGTGAACCCACCCACCTCGCTGAGAAGATAGGGCCCTTGTACCTCTTTGATTGGAAACGGGGACGACTCCACCAGTATATGTAGTCTTTTACGCGGGAGGTTCCTCTGAGATCAGAAAGAGGCATTCCTCCTACAGTTTCGGAATTATTGGGAACGGACCTTCCTGAATGTGGAGGAAACTCCGGTACGCTGTCTTCTGCGGCTTGCTGGAACGCCCATCTCCTCCTCTTCTCTGTCGGCGGGTTAGGCTCTCCGGCCCCTTCTCTACTTGTTCTGATTCGACATGGAGTTTGGTTTCAACTTCGGATATGGGAAATAGGTATCAAAGGGACAAGGAGTTTTCAGATTCAGGATCAAAATCTCTCCTTGGCATCGGGAAATCGGTTCTCTCCAGATGTTTTTATCTCTGCGAGAAGAAAGTCGACACCTTTGTGGAGGAGTCGTCTTTGCAAGACATCCTCAGAGTGTATGCAGATATGTCCCCGGAGACCACCCGTCGTTTCTGGCGAGTTTCAGTGTTGAGACCTGATGATTTCCTCGAAATTTTGCTGGGAATTGGAAATGGTGATTGTAGTTTAAGAAAGGTGGAATTCTTGTTGAAATTGTTTAGGTGGGCCAAGAAACAAAGTGCAGATTTTGATCATCTCCCGAGGTCTTATGAGGTCATGATTTCAGTTCTCATCCGGGCACAGATGTATAAAGATGCTGAATCCTTACTTCTGGGAGTAGAGTCAAGAGAAATTTTTTCAAATTCTGCTGCATTGGTTAGTGGCATAATCCAAGGTTATGCCGAAGATTGCAAATTAGAGAAGGCAATGGTTCTATTCGATAAAGCCAGAGAAAGGGGTACAGTCCCATCTGCTTCCTGTTATCAGTCTCTTTTGAGTCTTTTGGCCAAAAAAAAGAAAGTTGAATTGGTTACAAAAGTCTATATGGATATGATGAAGGTTGGATTAGCCTCATATTCCCAAGATTGCATCCTGAAAATAGTTATTGTAGGACTGACAAAAAATGAGAGGATCCTCGAGGCTATAACCGTACTTAGGCAACTAAGGTGTTCTGGTATCGAAGCAAGCCATTTTGCTCTTTCTGCAATTGCTGAAGGATTATGCAAAAAGAAGGATTTCGAAGATATGTTCAACTTTCTAGAAGAATGGGGGCATGCTCCTGAAGTTCATATTTGTAACAAAATAATTTCTTCATTGTGCATAGATTTGGGTACCCAGGAATCATGGTCTTTCATGCAAAGAATGGAAGTTTTGGGCTTCAAGCCAGATGCTATAACCTTTAGCATCCTCATTTGTCATAGTTGTAGGGCCAGAAAGTTGAGGGATGGATATATTTATCTTTCAGAATGTTTATTCAGGGGAATAGTACCTACTGCGTACATCTATAATGCTCTTATCAGTGCAGGTTTTATGGAGGGTTTGCATAGACATGCAAATGATGTATTTGAGGACATGCTAGAGAAGGGTATAATGCCAGATCAAACAACATTCAAAATTTTACTGGCTGGGTATTGTAAATATAGAAAATTTGATGAAGTTAAACAGGTTCTAATTGACATGAGGAATCGGTGCTTGACTTCTTTGACTTCCCTGGAGGATTCACTCTCTAAGGCCTTAATTTTTTTAGGACTTGATCACTTGAAGGTGAAAATAAAGCGTGATAACAATGTTGGAATTCCTAGATCTGAGTTCTTTGACTGTCTTGGCAATGGGCTATACTTAGATACTGATGTAGAGGAGTATGAAACATCCTTGGCAGGAATTCTTGATTGTGCTATGGTTCCAGATTTTGATTCTCAGTTAATGAGAGGAAATGATAAGGTTAACATGCAAACTGCATTAAAAACAAAGGATGAATTAACCCAGTGGGGCCAGAACCTTTCATTATCGACATACTCTAAATTGTTCAGACACCTTTGTGCCACCCCACACCATTTAAAAGAAGCTACCAGTCTTTTAGATGATATCCCAGAGTCACTTGAACTGCTTGATGGTGAAACTCTTAATTTACTTTTAAAAAATTTAAGCAAAAACGGAATGGCAGCTCCTGCAATGATGATTTTGGAGAGGTTGTTCAAGAGAAAGCTTCTGGTGGAGAGTCAATCATTTATGGAACTCATTGTTGGCTTAAGCAAAGAAAGGGACATTGATGGACTGCAAGAATGCTGCAATCAGGCATACAGTAGCATGTGGCTACCAAGCTCTAAGGACCTTAGACCTCTTTTTAGTTCTCTGTGTAGGTGGGGATTAATCAAAGAAGTTCTGGAGCTGTTTGATAGGATATTGGAGAACTGCCCTGCATTGGTTTCTTCCTTATGTACTAGTGTTCTGAAGGAGTTATGCATGACAGGCTATACAAATGTTGGGTGTATTTTGGTGGAGGAGCTTCTTGAGAGAAATTTAGTCATGGATCATGCACCCTTTGTATATATCAGTATGGGCTTCTTGAAGGAGCAGCAATTGGTCGAATCACTTGGAATATTGGATATATTACACAACAAGAACATGACCTTGCCTATAAATGTGTGCCAGCGCATGATCCCTTTGTTGCTTCGGTTCAACAGGTTTGAAGAAGCCATTGCTCTTAAGGAATCTGTACTGACCAGGAAACCTGACTGTGGTTTTCTTATTTATAACATTTTTCTGAGTGAGTTAAGCAGGACAAGAAAGTTTACTGATGGTTTATCTCAATTGCAAGAAATGTTGCTGAGTAGGATTCTCCCGAATGATAATGCTTTAAATGCATTGTTGCAAATGTGCTGTCAAAAAAATAATATTCAGAAAGCATTTGAATTACTAGGTATTTTAATAAGAGTACATGGCAACCTTTCTATTTCAGGCTATCGGAGCCTTGTGCGTCAAATGCTCTTGAAGGGACTGATTTCTCATGCTTTGAGACTTAAAGATCTGATCCAGCAAAAAGATAAATTGGTGGAACTGAGTTTGTATAACATTTTAATATTTTGTCTCTTTCAAACAGGTAACAGTTCTATTGTTGAAACTCTATTAAAAGATATGCAACACATGCACATTCTTCCTGATAAAAACACTTATGATTTTCTTGTGCACGGCTTTCACAAGTGTGGAGAAGTCATTAAATCAGTTGAAGCACTTGATACAATTATTTTCAAGGGTTGGAGACCAAGCAATCGGAGCCTGAGAATAGTAATATGTCAATTTTGCAACGATGGAAAGCTTGAGAAGGCATTAGAACTGAGTCAGGTGATGGAACATAATAAATGGAAGCATGGTTCAGTTATCCAAAATGAACTCGCCATGGCCCTTCTCAGATGTCGTGGTCTTTCTGAGGCTGAACTCTTTCTGGATAGAGTAGCCAAAAAGGGGCTAATTCCTGCAAACATTGACTACAATAATTTGATTCAAAATATGTGCATGCATTCTGGAATACAGAATGCAGTTGATCTGCTGAATATAATGTTCAAAAAGGGTAACCTTCCAAGCGAGATGAGTTATAGTTCAGTCATTCATGGGCTCTGTGTTTGCAAGGCATTTGATCAAGCACTTGATTTCCATGCTGAAATGTTGCACCAGAACCTTCAGCCTAGTGTAGAAGTTTGTAATGCTCTTGTTAAAGGTCTTTGTGCAAACTGGAGGACTGATGATGCCCAAAGAATTTTGAGAACTATGCTCCAATATGGCCCTCCTCCAACTTACAGCTTGTATAGTCATGTTCTTGATTGTTACCATCTCAATAACGATCTGGACAAGGCATCAGAGCTTTTGCAGGAAATGCAACTGGCTGGACACTCTCCCAATTTTGAAACTCATTGGTCTCTTATAAGCAATTTGAGCAGCTTGGAGAAAAAGAGTGATGATGGTGATAAGAGTATTTTATCTGGTCTTCTTTGTGGAAGTAGACTTCCTGTGACGAATTCCAAGAGCAAAGTTGCCTCAGCATTCAAATAAGAATTCCTATCATCATAAAATCTTGCAAAACTCTGTTTCATGTGATTTTGGATTGTTTTACCACCTATGGTGCATCGTCTCTGGACAATGGTATTTGATAAAGGATCTAGAGTTGATGTTATTACACGAGAAGGTATAGGATTCACCTTCCTGTGTGATCAGTGCCATGTCATTTGTTTTAGCTGTTGAGATGCCAATATACTGCATATTCCTGTGAATAGGACAACCTGGGGCACTGATTGGTATTTGTGGTCATCAACACTGGTGCATGATCTTCTTGTAGGTATTGTCAACTAATGATGAAAATTTCAGCTGCAAGCTTTGCTTATGAAGTTATCTATTCAATTTATTTTTAAATATCCATTTAACTTATATTTGCAAATCTTTCTAGTAGGTAGATAAAAGGCCTCTCCAGGAAAAAAAAATCAAAATTAGTAAATAAATTAAACACTTAGCAAATTATATTTGTGATCATAGGTGTTAAGCTATAAGAAATATGTAAAGACATGTGAAATTAAAATAAAAATATTATAGACCATGATGTATAGTATTAAAATGAATCAATAACAGAAATAATTTGTAGCAAAAATGTGAAAACAAACCTGAATTCATTACCACAATTCTGTCATGCATATGTGACCACATAGATACGTGGGACAAGCTATCATCATGTTATCATCAGCCACCTACATGGTTGTCTTATATACTGGATAATATCTCTATGCATATCTTGTTTCATATGATTGCAAATTATTGTTATTTTTAATCTGTAAATCTGAATCATTTTTTACATTAATTTTTGCATGATTGGTTTCTGTTTCTATCTGATTTATATTCGCTACTTGGTTGCATGTGAAAATCATGTTTGTATTTTAGTTTCTCTAGATCAAAATTTCTAAATTCCTTTGGGAGATATATTGGAAAGCAAAAGCCACTCCAGGGAAAAGCACACATCTTGTGAAGTTTTATGTCTATATTTCCCTCATGATGATTTTGGTATGAAGCCCAGAAAATAAACTATATATCTATCCTTAGTAGTTGGGTTGTTTGAACAGTTTAATCGTTAACATATATTAAATGCTAAATTCAGAGAGGAAGAGTCAGCATTTGGTTATTTCCTTCTGTTGTAGTGTTAACTAATTATAAATCATTATAAATTTGATTTTTTTTTCCAAATATACTTGCTCGCTCTGTTGAGACTTACCGCGTTGTTGTTGTTGTTGTTGTATACTTGCTTGCTCTTTCTTGCAAATTTTTATGCCAGTCATTTTATCTATGATTTGTCTTTGATGCATCATTGCCTGTAGTAGTTCATAATTAGCAATGTATTATCTGTCTTGTGGTCCATAACTCTTTTCTTATTTTCTCTTGTATTGCATTGGTTACGTTGGTCCAACCTCTTCCAGCGTATATACTGTTGCAGGAAGATGCAAAGGAGCTGAAGAGGCAAGTTTTCAAAATAAACTTGCCAGATGCTAGATGAATCATCATCTGCTTGGATCTTGGTGCAAAAAAGGTGTTTAATCTTTACATGGAACCTGATTGCTGTTTAAGGTACTTGTTATTCATTTTATTATACTGAAATGTTATGATATTTTATCCTTGAGAAAGTCTTTTTCATGTATCATGGCTTTTTAGCTTTGGAAAAGCTATGCATAGCTCATTGATCATGTCATTTGTGGTTGATTAAATGAATGGAAATCATCTTTGATTAAAAGAAACCAAATAACTAAGTTTTTTCATGCCTTTCCATCTAATGGATCAGTTAACTTACAATCCCCTATAACTGTTGTAGAATTTGGACTTTCTCATGCTTTGAATTGTGTTGTGTTTTTCGCATCATATGATGCATTCTAGATCTAACAGTTATTGCTGATCAATTTCTGAAGTGATATTGTAATGTTATTTTTACTGCTAAATGATGCTTCTAAGCATTAACCTTGAACTGTATACCAACCCTGTGTGTCATTATCTTCAGATACATCTTGCTCCCTCCAATTTCATTTTTTTTGTAACATTGTCATCCCTTTGAAATTTTTATATTAAACTTTTCTGCAATGATGTTCAGTCTGTTTCGAATGTTTTGGATTTAAGCTTTTCTGTAATGATGATGCTCACACTTAACATCACTAGTTATTCTTTCATGTTGTAGGTGCATCTCCAAGTAATATGATCTTTACCTCTTTTTGTTTTTGATATTACATATTGCTTATGGTGATTTAACCCGGAAAGAAAAAGGAAACCATCACTGCAATGAATGAGAAACCTATATCCTAAAGCTTTTCTTCCATTGTGAACTATAAAAACCATTATTTGTAACATAAATAAATTTGACAAAAAAAAGCAAAACTCCATGGTTACAGAACTAGGAGCCTCAACTATCACATCGACTTCCATTGATGAAACTTTTTACCTAGATTGCTGCATTCTTATTTTAAAATTTTATATTCCCTTTCTTTTCCATAGATGCGGCAAAGCTTTTGAAAATATTTGTTGTTACTTTCATGACATGTATATATTGTTTCTGGATCATGCAATATTTATTTGTTGCTGCGTGATCCAGAAAATCATTTTTGTTGGGAGGAGATACTAAGTGAGTTTTCAGATTAATGCACTGTGAAATTGGCACATAAAATTACTCTTTAAGCATTTCCACCTTTATGTGATCTTTTAGGGTTGTTGCTTCTCTGCATTTGTCTCTATAATTCCTTTTACTTTCTCTACTTTGCTGAAAATCCTCTCTGCTTTAATGCGTGTTCCAGTTTTTGCTACGGTCAACCAAACGGTGGCGTATGTGGCTGGGAATATCCAATTATATTTGAATGCATTGTACTTTTTCCTAAAAAATTTCTGACTCGAGCTATATTTAGCCATCAAAGTGATGCTAATTGAAGATATTCTTCTTTGCTATTCTTTTTCGATAGTAAGTACCCTACCAAAAATCAGTATAGGTCAAAAGACAATAAGTATAGCTGACAACTTGGATGCTTCTGCTATCCTGACATACACCAAACTTGAACATCTTTTTGAGTCTCTATGCCTCAGGATGAAATTTTAATCTTATGCTATCTCTACCTCTCTGGAATAGACAGGACATATAAGTCACTATATCCTAACTATCTGAACTTGCACATGTTACACTAATGTGTGACAGATTTGTTCCGGTGATATAAGCTTGGGTTTGTAGAAATGTTTTGCGATTTTCTTTTGAATGTCATTTAAGGCAATCTTGGTTATATAGTTAAATTCTATTTTCTTTAAGAAAACTAAAATTCATTCATTTGTCATTAGAGATGACCAAAAACTGTGTAAGATCAGTACAAAAATTAGTATGAAGTTCATTTCTCCAGGATTGGGAAATGATCCAACATCGAGCAGCGTTAGCTAAAAGATGGGCATCCCAATTCTCAGAACAAGTAAACAAGGTTCAAGAAGATATATTTCAGGACTCAGTTAGAGACAATATGTTAGAGGTCACATTCATGAATGCCCAGGGGTGGAGTCTGGCTTTTGAATACAGGATAGCAGTTTCTGAGAGTCAGTTTTGACATGTAGATTGTGGAATCCTTCAAGAGTGGCTATGGATAGCCTTTTTCCAAATTGCTAAGCAGTCGGCCTGGACGGGAGAAGAAGCTTTAATCATTTTGCAGCCATCAACCATGATAGAGTCATTAGAAGCTTTAATAATGTATCCAATGCCTGCAAACTCAGCAGAGGGGTTACAGGAACCATCGATTTGAATGATAATTTGGCCAAATATTTCATGCTTGTGTCCTAAATCTTCACTATAAATTGTTGTGACTAATGAAGTTTGCCATAATGCAAATATGGTTTTATTATTGAACTAATTTCTCTTTTGGTTATAACATGTGCATTTTGTGATTTTCTTAAACTAAATAAGACTCGACATTTTACACAATGCTGCTCTCTTGCATTGACAATTATTTTCATCTAGGTGATTATGATCTTTATTCTATGATTGTACTCTTTAAAGCTGCAACCCTTGTGATAATAATCTCAGCTTTTGTTGAATTGATTAATAGCTAACTTCGCCCAGTTCAAAGAGTACAAAAGATACTCTTCAAATTTGGAATGTTTACATTGTGGTATTTAGTTCAGCACACATCATTCATAAGTTGCATCAAGTAGACTTGCCTTTCCCTTGTTTCCAAATTGCAGTCCCTCAGTTCGTCTTGCTGTAGCCGTGGAACTGTGAAGTCATCGACAAGGTTATTATATTGAATTTTACTGTCTGCCAAATTCTCCATGTGGCTAAAGCTGCTTGATTTATAGGAGTAAGGCCTTCAACTATAAAATGATTAAAAAAAGTCCATAGGTGATTAAGTGAAACATATTGTCCTATCAACAATGACCAATATCATTGTATGTTCTAATTTGATTTTGGTGCAGACAAAGAGGGAATCACTAATTTGGAGTTTCTGGATTTCCACACAACGTGAAATACTTGCAGGTACAGTTTAGGAAAGCTGTTGGGAAATGCCAAAATGTTGAAAAGATGACCTTTCTTGCTGACTCTTCAAGATTTCTTTCACTAAACAATTTTTGCAGTTAACAATGCAGTTCACCACACTCGGAAGAAAGTGTAGCTGTCCTGGTGCTTCTTGTCGATGGAAAGTAGACAGCAATGGACATGATGCCAACTTTGCACATAGATTGTTGCACTGAGATGGTGCTTTGCTTCCGACCTGTACAACCATCATGCTCATGATACTCTCATTTTCCAGGTTCAGACCAAGCTTTTCTTCCTAACAACAGTAAAAATTCTTCAAATATCTTACATTGAAACTGCAATAATGTGTGCTCAATCCATTGTCTCGGTATAATAATTTCATGTAGTTTCTGTTCCTCTCAGATCATTTTTTGAAAGATGAATAATGGATGCTATAAAAAGGTTTTTCTTAAAGACTTCATTTCTCTTTTGTCCATATGCCATTCCTCACAGTTTTCCAATGTGCATGGAAGAACAAAATTACAAAGATAAAAAAACAGAAAGACAAGACCATCAGAAATATTCTTTCTAAGTCCATTCAGAATTGTAGAGTTCATGCATTGTTGACTGAGTTAATTGGTGCAGTCAGTATCTTATAATTAGTGCAAGCCTTTTCTTGTTTTTGTTCTTTTATATGTGGCCTTTGTCTCTAATAAAATGAAAAAAGCAGTCTGAATGGGAGGAATCTTTAGATAACAAGCAAAAAAAAGCTAATCACTATCTAAAAATTAATTATCTAATCTGTTAATAATCAGAGTGACAAAATATGCATATAGACAAGTATTAGAAACCCAATAGGTTTTCGATTTCCTTTAGTTGATTGACAATCGGCACCATTGCTTTGATGCATATAGACAAAGTATTAAAAGCTTGATAACTTTTAGATCTCCTTCAGTCGATCTACAATTTGCAATTGAACAAGTATCAAATGCTCAATAATTTTAAGATTTCCTTCAGTTGTTCTACAATTTGTAACATTGCTTCTTTTTGTAGACAATGATTTTTTTCTTTTTGCTTGCAGAGAGAGCAAAGAAAGAAGAGGCAACAAGAACCTCCTCTTCCCACAGAGCTCTCAGCAAATCTTCTCTACAGCAGCAGGAGCCATCACAATCCTCCACAAGTACCTCCCACTTGCCATATCAACACAAGTCCAAAACCCGGTTCCGATTGCTGATCGAACCTGATTCATCCCAGAAACCAACACCATTACCATCACAGAACAGTAGAGAGAGAGAGAGAGAGAGAGAGAGAGAGAGAGAGAGAGCTTTACCTTGGTGGAAAGGGGAAGCTGTGCTGGAGAGGAGTCTTCTTCCTGCTGTTCTTCATTGAGCTCTGGCTGGGTCTTGAGGTTTCTGATCACAAAGAAACCAGCCAAGGTGGCTGATAGAAAGATCAACAGCACTCTCAAAGGACACATCTCTCTCTCTCTCGCTTCTCTTTCTTCTGAGATCTGCTCACCGAGGAGTTGCCATGGGAAGCACTATTAGAGAAGCAAAGGAGCAGGCTTGAGAGAATGGTAGTTTGAGAAGAAAACAAAAGGTTGGCAGCTACAATGAGTTCATTGTTGACTTTTAAAGCATCCTGCATTCATGCCAGATATATGGCAAGGAGATTGGTACGACTATATATATATATATATATATATACCTGAACGGGGCCCACCGAACTGCCGGGTGGGTGGGTGGGTTTGGTAAGAATTGGACCGGGTCTTCAGTAATTAATAATAATTAACTTGTGTTTAGTGGATGGGTGTTAATTGGATTGGTATATTATATGCATGTAAAATCTAAATTAGACTTTAGATTTTAACAAAATCTAAATTTTGGAAGGGATATTTATGCATGTAATATTAATATGAGGAGGGACCTATTTTCATACTTGAAAAAAAAAAAACATATATGCAAAAGCCCTCATATATTATATAAGTGCAATTAGCTAATAATAGACACCATTATTATTTTTTATGTCTTCATACAATGTGTTGCCATGTTTTACTCTTTAACATCCTTTCGTTTTACTTTTTGTTGGATGGAGCTGTATTCAACTCTGAAGAGGGCATTTGCTATAATGCCAATGGTGCAACAAATGTATTTTTCTTTTTCTTTTTTTTTATTTGTCTTAAAGAAGGATATTTCCATTTTCACTTCTCCCGTTGCATCGCCAATCCCCAAGTCTTCTTTTTCATGTCTTATCATCTCAACAAACAAACAAACAAACAAACTCTCTGATAGGGGTTGGGTTGGGGTGGGGTGGAGGGCAATGATACAATTCATAACAGCTTGGTGCAATCGGAACAACGAGGGACATACAAACTAATAAGTGAGCAGCCACCATCCCTTTATATTAATTACATTAAGCTAATAAATGACTACATCCCTTTATATTAATTACATTAAGCTAATAAATGACTACATCCCTTCATGGTCACAAGGGTATGCATTAAGAATCGATTATTAGGGAGAAGGCAACCAACCTTAGCACAAAACTACAATTTTAAGAAACAAAGAGAAAAAGGTAAAGAGATAACACTTCATATAGTATATGTTCTAACCCAATATTCAATTTTGAATTGTCTGGGCTTGAGTTTTTGATCCGCTGCTAAAACAAAGGAGTTTAAACAAAATAGGTATTTTTCCACAAACTAAGTATAAAGCTTCAAATTCTTCCAACAAAAAGGATTACTTGAGTAAATGATATAGCTTACAGAAAGCAACATGACTTCACTCTGTACTCAACCTAACGATCAAATGAGTATGGTCAAGCAAATCTAGCTATCCTTGAATTAAGTTACAACTCAATGGTCACATGTTCAAAGGTCAACAAAAAGCTGAATTCTTTGTTTCATTAACCTGGGCTTCCATAGCTCCAGTCCCACCATTTCTTTCTGTAGCTCAGACTTGCTGCTTGTCTTTACTAAAGTGGACATGTGAAACGTCTTAAAGCTGTAATAGGGCGAAGAATTCCATCCATTGGAGAGGAGAACCTCTATATCTTCTCATGCAATGTGAATCCTTTAATGGTAAAACCTTTACTGGAATGATGTAGATGAATATTTTGGAAGGCCGGGCCGAAAGACCAAGCAATCATCTCGCTTCATATTATTGAATAACAAAAAGAGCTTTGCTATATTACATATCACTTACATTGTGCTTTTCTGCCTAAATTTAACTGGTATATGGCATCTTTTACCTTTCTGTGAAGTAGTCTACATTACATTGCTACAGCTCACCAAGCAAAGCATTGAAGTACCTGTTTTATCTCCATGTAGTCAATTAGGATATAGAAGCAGCTTGCAGTTTAGCCAGGTCAGTTTGACGCCTTCCCAAGTGAAATGCTGTGGCCAACCAGAGGAAACATAGCTGAAATCACATGAAACAAGGACGTATCATTAGATAGAATCTTACGTTCATCAGATTCAATGAGCATAATATGGTCCATGATCTATTCAAAATTGATCACTGTAGTCTTCACATTTTTTTCTGGATCCTTAAATTATTATTCTTAAATATTGCAAGGCAAAACAGATTTCCAGCAATCATTAAACTGAACCATACACTAGCGCAATCATGTTACAAATCCTGGCTATTCAGAAAGGACAAAATGGCCCTCTAACCATACATTTGATAGCTGATAGATGGGAATTTGATACAGTTGAGAACAACATCATCATCAGTACAAACTATTTTAACAGTGTACAAAGTCTTCCATTAATGAAATATCATCTTTAAGAATTCTAAGGCAGTCACTGCAAAAATCTAGCCGGCATAGTCATACATCATAAACACCATGAATAATTTAACTCCAAATCTGAAATATTATTATACAAATAAGTGAATAAGATACCAGAAGATTGTAGATTAGCACCAAGAAAAATAATTTACTAGAAGAACAATGTCAGAGAAGCAAATACCATCATTGTAACATGCAAATGCTGCAGTATATGTCAGAGAAAGTTAGATTTAATCATAAGTTTATAACACATACTGGCAAAGCGTAGAGAGAAACCATGGATGTTCTGTTGTTAAGGCTGCCAAAGAGTAATTTATAAACTCCAGCTGCAGTTGCATCACCAAGTCTTTGAACAATAACATCTATGAAAATCTGCATAATCACCAAGGATGTCAATATCATCAGAAAACACAAAAGAAAAATTGGAACACACAACAAAGTTATAACTCTGTAGGAATCCACTAGAGTAAGTTTTGTACATCAATAATATAAAATGCGGCATTGCTACCTATAAAATTCAGTAAACAACTGGACCTATAGTGATCAGATTATACAAGTACGGTCATGCTTAATTCTTTCTTCAGTCTCTCCTTTGTTCTTCCTATAACCTACTTTATCTATCTATCACTACATAGACCAAAGAAATCTTCACTTTTGCTTCTTTCCATTGATCACCATGTTAACCAACAGATAGCCATGCAGGTTAAGGTGCGTGTTTTGCCAGCCAAGGATTCTGATGATAAGTTGATTCTGTGAAGAACTACATTTTTTTTCCCCAAATAGCATGCACCTCAGAAAAGCAAAAATATATAATTCAGAGGTTGCTTATTCCTAGTCTGTGACCTCTTCAGAACCACATCTCTTAACATACTCCGACTGCTCCAGTGACCGAGTTCTTCCACACTCTTTTGCATATAGACTTAAACTAAACTGTTCCATAAAAGGAACTATATAACGATTGCAATATAATGACGTTATATAAACTATATAACATGATTAAGAAGTATTCTAACCTTCTTATCTAAAAGGAAAAAGACAGACAACATAGAGTAGTCACCTTGGCTTTATACTTCTCATCCTGTGATACAACAGTGAATAGGAGTTCCCTTCCAGGTCTTGTAACCACATAAGTAGTAACCTGTACAGGATACAGTGATAAAGCAAATAATGTAATAAGTAATAACCACACAAATAGCGACAAATACAGCTCTCAGAAATTGAACATCAACCCAAAAGATACTAATGACACATTAAAAATTGCATAACAAAATTTGCAAAAGAAAAGAAAATTCCTAATAATTTTTAAGTTAATCTGATTCCATTCTTTCAATATAAAATAATAAAAGTACATAGAATGCATTCTGAAGTAACTTATCCTATATCATCGTTGGGCGGCTTGGGCCCCTCTAGTACTAGATGCAACCCCTATGCAAACTTATAAGACCGTCTTACAATCTTAAAGAAAATGTAATGAATGATGGTAAGTTGTGTAACATTCACTATCTTTTGCCCGAATGTTAGTCACATAGTCAATGAGAAAACTAATAGTTATAGGCATGGTTTGACATTTCCACACGGACTAGTACAAAATAGATAGTCTGCATCACTCCAGGTGTGAACCAGTTACATGGACCACCCTGTCTCAGGTGGTCCAAAACGAATGCTAAAAAAAAATCATACTTCCAAGACTAATGTTCACGAGCCCTCTTCACCCCGAATGCACGTCCTTCCTGTTCTGCCACATGCAACCACCCATCACCAACTGCCGCCTGCTGCCCGCTGCTTGCTGTGCGCTGCCGACGAAAATGTTCCCTCATCCTCGTCTCCTCTTCTTTCTCTTCCTTCCTCTTCCTCCTGCATCCTCTTCTTCCTTCCTGCTTCCTCCACCCCTTCTTCTTCTCCTTCCTCCTATTTGAAACACCGATTCATACTGGTATACCATGTGTTGGTACACCAGTATTGTTCAGTACATACCAGACCGACCAACAACCAATCAGGTCTGGGTACGGAAAACAACATTCCCTGGTTATAGGGACAGCTTATTGTTATTCAGGATAGTCATGACTCATAACACGTGCAAGAAAAAGGACAAATGGTTACCAATGTGAACATCAAAGTAGCAAAAAGTAAAAGTAGGATGCAAGAAATAAGGGCAGGAATGCGAGTTTGAAGGTTGTTCACAGTATGTTGAATATAGTTCTCAGTGTAGTCAGCTAACCCCATTCAACAGTGGCTGGCATATTACATAATAATCAGAAAAATGAATTTAATTATGCTTAGGTTGAACAGATTCAGTAGAAAGATATAGTTTAATTTTATCCGAAGTTAGTACTTTCAACTGTGGAGAACAAATAGCTGACACTTATTTCACCAGAACAAGACAAATTTAGAAAGTTCACACAGGTGAACCCATAACTAATTAAGCCACATTATTATTCTGTTGGTTTATCTTCTGGACTCCACCATGCTTATGAGTTAAGACCAGCAATCACTCAACATCTTCATAAAAAAAGCTATTGGAGCAAACATTTTCCTAGGAGAAGTATGCATTAAAAAATATAACTTATACAATTATTTAATATATTTTGCAGCACAGTGATGCCAAGGTACTAGAAAATGAAAAGTCAGTTTCTAATGACTGTTAATTCCCAATGAATGCAAAAGGCAACGTCTAATGTCTTCTGTTGAACTTAATGATGAGGGTACAAAAAAGTAGATCTCCAAATTTCTCAAGTCTAATGAAATAATCTTTTTGTGCATACTATACCTTTCGAATAGTCTCAGTGATAGCAACTGTAATCCATGTAGGCCACACAGCAAGAACAACCATGTTTGAAGTTGCAACAAATGGGGCCGAGCAAAGAGCGATAGTAATACCAGCAACTGTA